CCTCTGCCCCAGTGCCTTACTTTTCCATTAGAGCTAAATTGTTGTTGTTGTTCTTTTTAAAGATTTTATTTATTTATTTGACAGACACAGCAAGAGAGGGAACACAAGCAGGGGGAGTGGGAGAGGGAGAAGCAGGCTTCCTGCGGAGTAGGGAGCCTGATGTGGGGCTTGATCCCAGGACCCTGGGATCATGACCTGAGCTGAAGGCAGCCGCTTAATGCCTGAGCCACGCAGGCGCCCCTAGAGCTAAATTGTTTGAAGGGATTATAGGCGCAGGCTGTGTTGTTGCTCAGCCTAGATAAATGGCAACTGTTTGTTAAAATCTGCAGTTGACCAGTTATGGAAGGAGCTATTGCGTAAGCCTTCACCGGCCCTGACAAAGCTGCTACGGTCTGTCAGACGTTGCTGCAGGATATTATGCAGGAAGATTGGAAGACACCTAGACCACTATAGAAATAATCTGGCCATCTGGAATCTGGGGCTACAGAAAATTCTTCCATATCAAACAGCTCATTGGTCTTAGCTAGCATCAGTGGACCCACACCCATGAAGACACACCTTGTCTGATGAATGAGGACCCATCAGTGGAAGCTTAACTTAGTGAGGGTAGCCCTGAGCTTGGGACTTTTCGGAAAGGCCAGATCAACATCAGCACCGTCTATGTGATTCCCCTAAATTTCCTTATTAGATTCTCTCCAGAGTACAGTCCTCAGAACAGAAACTTGACACTGAGTAGAACCACCAGGGTCCTTGTTGTCCTGTGAGGGCTCAAGGATTGCCCAAGAACTAGGGCTTCTTGGCAGTAAATGTCATCAGTAGCGAGTGTGACAGAGTTGTGGCCCATCACATACATGGTCTAAAGGCCTCTTGGAAAGGTGGGCATGAAGTGGTTGGTATATACCTGGGTCTCTTGGGGGTGGCAAAGGCCAAAGTGAGCAGAGGTGCTGCTTCTGGGGGCGCATGGACATGCGGATTTCCCTGCGTGTGGCCGTGCCACCGCCATCCTGGTGCTGGCCACCACCCCAGGCCTCTGAGCCACCTCCTCAATCCGATTGTTTTGAGTGCTTGGTAGGGAGTGAGGGTTTTTTCCCCACCTCTTCTCTTTTTTTTTTTAAATGGTCAGTCTTTCAAAGACTAATTCATGAACTCCTACTAAAATCAGATAGCTAGTAGATAATTCTTTTTCATTCTTTGTGATCTTACTAGCGGACTAAAGTAATATCTGAGAGTTCATATCCAGCGTTTTCTTAGGCCACCTTGGCTTTGGATGCCGTCGGGAGGACCAGTAACAGCTCATCATGAGCCCAGTTTTTCTTAATTTTATGTTAGTGGCGATTTCCTTTATGTTGCAGCAAAATACTGTGGATCCTTGGGGCAGAATTTTAAATAGCCTGGAGCTCTTCTCTTGTGTTGCTGTTGCTCTGTATTTTATCTACTCATAGTAGTATTGCTGGCTGTGGTTTTGGTTTGTTACCTGATGCCTTAGCAAGCCTTTATTTACTTACTTATTTTGGTCTATCCACGTGAATGAGGACTATACAGAAACATTAACTGATCTCAGATAATCAGTATAATGTACCTCATTAGTCATCTTGAGTGCTCATTATTAATACTATTGATTTGTGATCAAACCAGTTTTTCCTCTTGTGATTTAGGCTTAAAACGTTAGTGGTGTGTTCATTTTTAAACGGCTAAGAGGAAGATTGGTCAGGGTACCTGTGGGAACACTCAGTCAGATTGGCCTTAATGCGGTAAAGGCATGGTGTTGCGCCCTGTGGAGTAGATTCCCCCACCGCAAGGATTTTTTTCAAAAATCAATTCAAGAAGTTGGTATGTTTTGAAAAACAAGTGCTAAAGCAACTTTTTCTCTTACTGAAATATATAAAGTTTAAATTTGATTTTTAACAATGTAGCATCCAGAAGAGTTTATATCTCCTAATTTCTCATCTGTCCTCAGAGAAATGGGAATATATTTTTATTGCCTGTTTTCATCTGTGCTTGAACTTTTACTTGAAAAATCAGGTTAAAAGCAAAGTTTATAAATGGATACTTTTCTTTCATAACTGGGACAATTATTTTTTAACCATTTTATACCTTCAAGTGGCATGTTTCCCCCACCCCCCACCCCAATTCCAGATGATATCTGGAAGGATTTTCTTCACCTTGTTCTCTTCTTACACTTCCTAGTTAATATTTCACAGCAGCCCATTTAAGGATGTCCCTCAGAGGTTGAACAGCTTCTATGGAATAATCAGGGAAGTGTTCATTTGATTTTACTCTTGAGGATTTTATTTATTGATCAGTTGTTGGCGCATAGAAATGCCGGCAGTAGGTTCCTTTAACATTTCACCATGTTGGGATTCTAAGGTGAGGAGGATGTCAGTTAAGGCCCAGGGGTGCTTGGAAAAGGGTCTGTTGCTCATTGTTAATTATTTAGTGACTCATTAATCTAATATATGAAAGATGAAGAGAAGTAGCACCCTAGAATTTCCTTTCCTCTACTTACTGCACTCCTTGGATAATAAAGCATTTATCAACATGTTGGAGAATGGTTAGCAGCTTAGCAAATGTGTAGAACTCTGACCATTTTGCCTTTTTTTCCCCTTTGGGGCAGTACTAAGGGAACTGGTAGGATGTGAGTTTGGGATTTGGATTATTTGTTGCTTCAGTAAAGAGCAAATGGGAGTTGCGTTGGTTTTAACTTAAAGAGGGAATTCTTAGCGCATGTGTGCGTTGTCAGGCGTCATCCAGCATCTGTCAGTATTTCTGTTCTGTCAGTATTTCTGTTCTTGCACGCTGCTGGTCCAAGTTGATGCTAAAAGACGTCTTTTTTGTGTCTCATCTCTTTAGCAGGGGGAGCAATCTCAGAACTGTTATGAAGACGCTTGAAGTTCTTCGTTCTTCCCCACTTTGCCATCATGTGGCGTCTGGACACTGTGGTCAGTCATTTGAGATTGACTTTAATTTAAAACAAAGGCCTCTGCCTCCAGCCCAGGAGGTGGAAGGAGTGAATCATATATTTGAATGAAGAAGTGAATTATGGAAGAAGAGTACACGGCCCTTCCCTTTCAAGCATAAGTCCAAATAGGCTCTCAGGAATGAGGATTTGTGAAGACATCAAACAGGAGTTTTGACTCATTCAGACTTCAATGCTTAGTTATGTTGCTGGAGAAAAGAGACCAGTTTTGCTCATCTAACTATTGTGCCCAGGATCATTTTGACCTGACATTTCCTATCCTATTTGCCTTCCATCCTCCGTGCATGTCCTCGAGTGACTTATTCTCATCTGAAGTTTTGCTGCCGGTATCCTAGAAAAACCTCTGTTGCATATTCTGTCTTCCATTTTTAAACTTAACTCTCTCACCAGATACCTCCTGTATTTCCCTATTGTGTACAGAGGATGGGCAGAAAAGAAAGTGCTCGAAAGCTTTCAAGTTTTCAGAAACGGAAGAAAGATAAGAAAGGCCCCCTCTTCTTAACATAACCCCATTTTGCTCAAGAAGCTGGGCTGTAAGAGGGTCAAGGTTTTTCTTTGTTTTCCTTCCATTGCATGTTTTCCTCCAGTAGTGGTTCTTTCTCATTAATCATGGTTTTTGAAGATAGCTAGTTTTATCCATCTGCAGCAAAGAATCATCAGTAGGTCATATTGCTTCACCTGTGCTGGCGTCCAGAGAGGGAAACAAACCAAGGGGTCTCTCCACGAGCTTCTTTTTTATTGGGGTGGGGAATCTATGCAAGGACTAAAGTCAAACCGTCCACAATCAAAGCAGCAACAACACAGTTCAAATCAAAGATCAAGGAGAAAAAAATTTTTTTTATCGCGTGTGGATCTCTGTCCCTTCCCTTCTGTCGTGACATTTTCCCCTTCTTGCATCCCCGCTCCTGCGTACGACATGTTTTCAGTCTCTTCCTTTCTGTGAAAGGTTGCTTAGCTTTTTAAAAAATTTTTTTACTTCCTGCTTCTTGCTTTTGCTGTTCTTCATATACAAAGTAGCAGATAGGATGGATGTGTACATGAGGTGTTTGAAATTCTCTGAACCCAGAGTTCCCAGGTGTGGAGAGGACTCTCTGCAGAGAGCTTTTAGCTGACCTGGCCTGGCGTCGGTGCGGCGTCCTCCGGGGAGAGTCCCACCAACAGCTGGGTGCTCCTGTGGGGCAGCCCCACACGAGTGGGTTACCTTTGGGATTTTAAGATAGCAATCAAAGTAGACTTACATCGGGAAGAGCCTCTTTCTCCTCCATCTTTTAGAACCAAAATATTCAGTAGTTGAAGTAAGAGCTCCCCCTGAGTCAGTTGTGAAATGCCTATTTTTAGCCGCCATGGCTTTTTTCGGCTTTTTTCCTTAAACGCTCATTTTGTGAATTTCATTTCTGATTTCACATCCTACCAGTGGTTGCGATTGGCAGGTGGCTCACTGGACGGGTTTTTTGTTTTGCACACATTGTTTCCATTCCATTTCGCTGGGGATGTGCACCGCGATCTCGGTCTTGCACAAACTGTGATACAGAAGGTCTTTGCCCTCCTTGCAGGGGCAGAGTAGCTCGGTGTCCTCTGCCTGTGTGTTGGGATGTTTCTGCCATGTCCGGACACCTCCTTGACTGGCTCCTGAGAAGATCGGCTTCAGCCCTGCCAGGTGGTGTCTGGCAGCACTTCCTAATAATTATTTATGCTTCGGGGATTTTTTTCAGCTCCTGAAACTTTCTATCCAGTTTTATTGTTTTCTCAATATGTACAATATATGCGTATTCTCTTCTCTTTTGTCATTCCTACCCCCCATCTGCCCCATCCCGCCATTTCGTTTTTTAATGTTCCATAGTTTTGTACAAGACGAGACTTAGCCTTGGGTTACTTCTTGCTGAAGCTTTAATGCTTTGTAAATAAAATTGGATGTTTATTAAAGAACAGGTGTGGATGTTGGTTTGTGGACACTGCTTCTGAAAACTCACTAGCCCCTTTGGTTTGTAGGATAGGAAATGCAGTTTACTGTGCTGATGTTAGATCTTTCTGTGCAGAGATGCAGACCTGGGAGGAGTAGGGGGTGCTCGGGGAGTCCAGAGTTCTGCCTCTGGACAAGATTATAAATGAATGATTCAAGCAAAGAGTTGGTGTTATACCACAAAGATCATCTAGGAATGATCTCTCTCCAGATTCTTTAACTCCGTAAGTGTGTGTAAGTACTCGGCAGAGGCCACGGTGCTGGGGATAATCTGGATATTACAAAAACACATGCGAGGGCATTCCTGCCTTCCAAGGATCTTTCTTAAAATGTAAGTACTGTTAAATTCCTCTTTGACTTTTTTTTTTCCCCCCTTAGATTAAATTGCTTTCAAACTCATAAAGTCTATTTAAGTCTTTGGTTTTAATCATTGTCAAATCTGAGTGTCTGCCGCTCATTTTTGTTTTGTTTTGTTTTGTTCTGGGACTAAGAATCCGTCTTTGACATCATAGCTGTTTCATAGCAACCTTGACCCAAGTGAATGACGAGCTCCTCTGTTCTGTGGAGGTAAGGGAGTAGGCCGAGAGGTGGGCAGGATTATGTATCCCCCTCCCCCAAAAAATACCTTCAGTGCCCTCGGGAGGGAAGAGTGTCTAGAATGGGGAGAGGGGCTGTACTGGGTATCACCCCTCTTGTGGATAAACATTCGGTTTCTAAAAGGGCAGCTCGGTCCTTGTCTTCATGAATTCTTCATTTCTGTTTAAAATTCCTTACCCATGAACAGTGTTTCACACTTTACAAAGTGTTTTCATGTACAGTTTATCATTTATTGCCCAAAGTGACCCTCCTGAAGTAGGCCAGGCGGTCTTAATTTACAAAGGAGGAAATAGAAATAGAAATTCAGGAAGGAATGCTCACTTGGCTTCCAGTCCAGAGTTCTTAATCCTTTTTTACAGAAGGGTTTAGGAGCCTTTGAAGTCAATAACTTAATGCAAGGTAATCCTCTTTTATTTATTTATTTTTTTAGACCTGGTATTTGATTTCTTGGTCAGATTTAACTGGGTTTTCGAAGCCCTTTAATTTGGATCCTATAGTTCGGAGAGGGGTGGCAGGGGTGCGGAAGAGTAGCTTTGCTATGCATTTGAAGTAATTTGGACATTGACTTCAGAAGCTGAAATCTCTTCATCTTTGTCTTCCCAAGAGGGTGGACTTAAGCTCATTACAAGGGCGTGGACAGAATGGGGACTGGTCAGGTGGTCACTGACAAGAGCTAGTAAAGCAGCCACGTGATGACCTTTTCCCTGCCTGTGGGGACTGGATTTGTTCATAAGGACTGGATTTGTGTTGATCGAGTTGCAGTGTTTCATTGACAACAGGTGCATCCTGTCTTTTGACGCTGAAGGAGAACTTGTGTCAAGGGAATGAAGTGACGCTATAGAGGATTCACCTGGGACACCTCGGGTGCCGGCTGACGGAGGTGAGACATGAGGACTTCGGCCGCTGGTTTCCTCCTCGGGGGCCTGGTGTTGGCCTTTTGTCTGCCTTTGGTGGTGACTTTACCAAAAACACTGGCCATCCCAAAGAAACTGCAGCAAGCCGTGGGGAGGGTTATTGTCAATGCCACCAGCTGCACGGTCACCTGTGGCCTTGGCTACAAGGAAGAGACCGTCTGCGAGGTGGGCCCTGATGGCGTGAGAAGGAAGTGTACGTCTCAGCGCTTGGAATGTCTGACCAACTGGATCTGTGGGATGCTCCATTTCACCATTCTTATAGGCAAGGAATTCGAGCTGAGCTGCCTGAGTTCAGACATCCTGGAGGTGGGGAAGGAAGCTTTCCGGTTCACCTGGCGACTTGCTCGCGGTATCATCTCAACTGATGATGAAATCTTCAAACCCTTCCGGGCCAGCTCGCACTTTGTGAGGTTTGAGTCTATTCAGGAGTATGACTCTGGGACATACCGGTGTGATGTGCAGCTGTTAAGAAACTTGAGGTTTGTCAAGAGGCTCTATTTTGGGCTTCGGGTCCTTCCCCCTAACTTGGTGAAACTGAATTTCCATCAGTCCCTTACTGAGCATCAGAAGTTAGTCGATAAGGGCCTGGAAGTGAATCTGGACAACGGTTCTAAGCCTCATGGCCCACCGTGGAAAAAGAAGGTGGCTGTAGCTTTGGGAATAGGGATTACCAGTGGAATGGCTGGTGGTGTGTTGGTGATCATTGCCCTGGGCAGTGGGCTGAGGCTGATCTACAGCAGTGCTGGCCTTGAGTCCTTCAGAGCCTCCCTCCGGAAAGGCTGGCTGCCCAGGAACCTGGACCTGTTCAGGAAGGCAGGCCTGCTTTTTAAAGGAGTATCTGGTGGTCTGATTGTGGCCTGGCTAGGGGGGAGGGCTTCTACCGCCAAAGGAGTGAGTGGGGCACATGGAGAGGGGTAACATCATGGTAGCGCAATGGGCAATACTCCAGATGGATGTCTTCCTGATCTTCCTGCCACTAGGCCCTCAGAAAGCCTAACCGTAGGCACTGCCGCTGCTCCTGGGAAGTTCTGGCTTCTGGGTTTGCATTCACTATCTCTTACAACTTGATGCCTCTCCACCTCTGTCCCTTCTGAGCATATAATCACATAGAAGGACATGTTAATAGCTTTTCTAGTGGAAACCTTTTTTTCCTCTTCAATAAAAATCATTCATAGTAGCTGCGTGGAGACTAACCTTCTCTACTCTTTAGTTAAAAATCTCTTGCATCTGTTTAAATTGTCCCATAATCTGTCTAGCTTTCCTTTTCCTCCGATTTCTTAGAACAGACATTGCACACATTGCTTTGTAGGAGGGCATATGCCCTCGTGTGGCGGAGCCAAGGCTGTTAGAAATGACATCTGACCTGGGTATGTTAACAGTCACTAAATGTTAATAAGTTGTCTGCCGCTTCTGTACTCCCTGGGCGAACCCTCTGTGCGGTGTTAAATTGATTCCTGGCGGAACACTGGATTCTTCACATCTGGTAGGTTTCCCCTGAACAGTTCCTTGACTTGCTCCCTGCTCCTATCCTCCTTGCTCTTCCAGTGCCCGGAAGCATGTGTTCCTGGAGAAATCAAGTGTATTAGTTTCTTAGAGCAGCCAAGGCTGCCCAAGGAGGGACTAAGACCTTCCTACCTCCATAGGAAATCAATCCTAAGACCCTCAGAGGCCATTCAGACTGTGTGAGATGATAATTGGCTTGTGGGATTGTCAGGGAAAAGGCTCTTGGCCACCAGCTGAACTCATTCTGAGAGAATTTGGAGCATTTCTTCCCCTTACTTTTCTCCAGCTGCAGGCGTGGGGTAGATGTGAAGACTTGGACTAGCGGTCCTCTTCTCTAGCTGTGAATGGGCTTTTGAAGAATGAGCTTCCTGAGCCCCAACCCCGAGGATGCTAATAAATCAGTTTAAATTATGGCTAATGGCTCTCTATTATTCTACTGTTAAAAATAATTTCAGGGGCACCTGGCTGGCTCAGTTGGAGTGTGTGACTCTTGATCTCGGGGTTGAGTTCAACCCCCCCTGTGAGGCGTAGAACTTAATTAAAAAAACAGTTAAAATAATTTCAACCCCATAGAAAAGTGGGAAGAAAAATTTGATGATACCCCATAGATCCTCTACTTAGAGTCACCAGTTGTGAATGTTTTTCTACGTTTATCTTTCTCTCTAAATAGATGCTGATTTTACTGAACCACTTGTGAGTTAGTCACAGACTTTGTGACCCTTTACCCCGAAATCATGTACGCCTCTGCTAATCAAGACGTTCTCCTGTAGGACTACAGTGTCGTCGCCCCACCTCAGAAAATTAACAATTCCCTAATCTTACGTATGGTTGAGGTCATCTTCCTGGCTTCTGAAATCTTAAGAGCCTTTTAGTTGTTGATCCAGGATCAAGTGAAGCTTCACATAATACATTTGGTTGTTTCTCTTAAGTCTTACTTTACAACAGACCTGCATTTTGGTTGTTGATGACACCGATTTTATCCAAGAGTCGAGCTGGTTGTCTTGGATAGTGACGCACCATCCAGGTTTGTCATGACTGTCCCCCGATTAGATTCCTGAGGAACAGATCTTCCACAGTTTTGACCACAGCCCCCCACAAACGGTGCGTGCTCCTTGTATCACCTCAGGCACACGGTGTCGGGGCGACTCGCAGCTGACAGGTGCGGTGATTGGGTTAAGGTGCTGACTGCCCGGTCTCTGCAAAGGTGTATGTTTTTTCCTCTTGTAATTAGTAATTTGTTGGGGGGGATACTTTGTGATATTCCTAATAACCATTAACGCCTTAGAATCCATTCATGATCCTTGCCTATTGTCTGCCAGGAACTGTAGGATGGCAATGCCAACATGCCCTTGGCTATATTCCTTAGCCTGCATTTTTCTGTAAAGAACAGCTGCTCTTTTTATTTTTGAGGATGCTCCATGGATTCTCTCTTTCAGTGAATTATATATAATCCATGACTGTTGTCCTCTATTTTTGATGTTTAAGTTGTCCCCAGTTTTGGCTGGTAGGAATCTCTTCAAGCCAGCGCTTTTCATCCTTTTGTTGTGGTCCCATTTGACCTGGAGCATGTCCTTGCTTTCTAGAACAAGATGCCTTAGATCCACATTTGGATTTTGTTTTCTCCAAACCCAGACTTGCTGTTTGCCCAAGGGATTCTGGTTCCCTTTTAGTGTGGGGAGGAGTATTCAGGAGGCAAGGTCTGGGTGCTAGATGTGCTCACGGCCACTGGGGAGTCATGCCCTTAGGCCCTTTCAGTGTCCCCGAAACACATAGATCACGAGTTCAGAGTGTCTTTGTTTTTCAGAAGTTCTATAGGTAATTCTGCTAGAGAGCAAAGACCGAGGACCACTGCTGTGGCCCATGCACAAGTTTACAATTTACGATTGCTCTTATTTCGAAAAGGTCTTATATTTTCCACATGCTCTTTCTTTCCCCCATCCTCTGCCTCAGAGGGGCTGGGTTCCAGCAGAGCTGGGTTCTGGCCCCGGTTCCGCTGTTGAGCATGTCACGGAGCAGGCAGACTGACCCCGTGAGTGGGAGGGCATGGCGAGAACCATGCTGTGCCTGGAAGGGCAGGAGGGAGGGGATCACCTGGGGCCTCAGTTCAGGGCCAGGCAGTTGGCTCAAGCACTCGGGAGAGCGCTTGCTGGTCTTGAAAAGAGGATAAAATAGTGTCTTTGATCTAATGAACTCAGGGCGGGGCTGAGGAGGGAGGGGGCTGATGGGGGCAGTTCCCCATTTTATAGCTGCAGAGCCAGACCCGAGGTGGGGCGGGGGGTGAGGAGCTCGGCCGGCACCTGTCGCAAACCAGTGGGACTCTGCGATGGGAGCCTGTGCAGCTCTGGGCTCACAGCCCTCTGTGCTTGGGGCTCTGAAATTCTGACTCTGAGACTGTGAAGAGATTGAACAGGCAGGAGGAAAACAAACACCCCAAACCCTCCGATGTGTCAGTAAAGACAGGAACTCCGTCCAGTTCATTGAATTCTGTGCATGTGATCTGCCTCTGGAGGGAGGGTGAAACACATGCTGACTAAAATTTGGGTGCCGGACTGGCCGGTGCTCCCAGCAGCCCCTCTGGGTGCAAGGTGGAAGGGATTAGCCCACCGTCCCGCTGCCCTTGGGCAGGCCCCTCCTGGGGGCTCCCCGTCGGCCCTGGGCACGGAGCTCAGCCCCAAGGGGCGGGGGCTCTGCTCACCCTTGTCTCCCTCTTCCCGGACAGGGGCGCCGGGGCGCAGTTGGCAGGGAGCCTTGCCCACTGTGCACTGAAGGACTCATGTACTCGCAGGGCTGTGCACGTGTGTCTCAGATGTAAGGGAGGCTTGATGAGTGTGTGTGTGTGTGTGGTTTTTTTTAAAGATTTTATTTATTTGAGAGAGAGAACGAGAGAGAGCACATGAGAGGGGGGAGGGTCAGAGGGAGAAGCAGACTCCCCGCCGAGCAGGGAGCCCGACGTGGGACTCGATCCCGGGACTCCAGGATCATGGCCTGAGCCGAAGGCAGTCGCTTAACCAACTGAGCCACCCAGGCACCCGATGAGTGTGCGTTGAGTGCAGGAGAGAATGTGGCCGCTGTCAAATGTGAGTAGGGATTCACAGCCTCCTGGCACCTTGCTAGGTGGGGGTCACTGTGTCCCTGCCGGGGGGGGGAAGGCTTCCCTTTGGTACCATTGAGTCATTGCTGTCAAACGTCTGAAAAGCCAGGAAAGCCTGAAGCACCGTTTGCCCCCCTGTGCCGGGTAGAGCCCGTGCGGGCTTGTAAAATGCCTGCTTCTGTTCTGCTTGGGCCTGCCTTACAGTCGCTTGGCCTCATTCTCCCCGTCCCAGGCCTGCGCGACGCAGTAGGGGACTGTGTGCTGTGACTTCCTTCGAGCTGACCGTGTGAAGGGGGGCGGGCGCTGGCCACCGGCCTGGGCCAGTGAACAGGATGGACCGTGCGCTCTAGCCTGATGATAAACACCCACAGCAGGTGCCCACTGCCCCAGCACGTTGAGAAATCATCTTTATTTAAGAACTGCCTGCTACCAGAGTCAATAAATAACTACCATCAGAAGTATAAGAGAAACGAACAATAGGCCAGTGGGAGTGGTTCCATTTCAACAAGAACAGGGTCAAGTCAGGGGGATCTGATGGAGCCCTAGCCCTCGCCCAGCCGTGAGCCCGTGAGCCTGCAGGCCCTGGATGGGGCTGGGTAATTTGGAGTCGGGGCCAAGGCAGGGTGCACCCCATCAAAGGGTGCTAGGCTCCTTGGGGCTCTGGGCAAAGTTATCTGGCCTAATTTTCCCCCCTCTCCAGTTTCCCTTTATTATCCTGCCTTCTCAAAGCCTACGACCATATATACAGCTACCAGGCACCTCTTTCCATGCAGCTTTTAGAAGTCCCTTACAGATGCCCACCTAATCCCTCACACCCCTCCAGGAGCCTCTCGGGCAACCTCGTTCATCCCAGGACAAAGCCCCGCTTAGGTCTGACCTGGGGAAATGGCACACCTGGGCCTCGGAACCAGGTTTGAGGCTAGCCCTAGCCCGCCTGCACTACCCTCTGGTTGGTGGTCACATTCTGAGCCAGGAAGAGAAAAGAGAGTCCTCTAGGTGGGGAGGAGAGAAAAGGGAGTGAAACATCCTTAGCCAGCTTGGGTTCTTGCCCTGAGGAGCCTCCGTGGCCCCCGGGGCTGCTGAGAGGCAGTGTCTGCCACCAAGGAATGCCCGAGGCGAGCCTCCCCACTCCGTGACAGTGACTGTGGTCGCTACATCTGCGGGAAGGGGCCACGGCGGGAAGGAGTGCCGAGACCCCTCCTGTGCTGACCGCAGAATCGCGGTCCTGCAAGGACGCTCAACAGCATCTCCTCACCCTCCAGACTTCACCGGGCTTAGACCCCGGACCGACAGCTGTCAGAATTCCCCAGAGGTCCCTAGAAAAGGAAGCAGCCTCTTCATCCCTCATCCCGGGCTCTCCCTGCAGAAGCTCTTCCTGATGTCGGACCTCAGACTCTCCTGTTATTTTATCAAAAGAAAAAGAGCCCCTTTTTTCATGGCTTTTCTGTTCCCCGGCCCATCTCTGTCATTTGACAACCTGAATGGAAGTGGGTAGCCTGACCTCGCTGGCCCCCAAGACCTGAGCTGGAGAGAGCTCCTGTCCGCCTGAGGGCGAGGTGTACGTCCAGACTGTTAGAGCAACGAGGACCAAGTAGCCCAGACCAGGGGGCAGAGGGCCCTGTAGGCCGAGCCCAGACGTACGTAGAACGGAGAGACTGTTCCCCGCGGCCCCGAGGCCGTGTCTGCAGGCTGTCTCTGTCCCTAGTCCTCAAGGCACTGACTGGCCACTAAGCTGTGGGTAAAGGACTTCTTTGTGGCCGTCCCCCTTGTCGCCTCCTCTGGGGCTTGGTGTGTGGGAGAGGAGAGATCCAGAATCGAGTACTGACCACAGCAGGGGCGAGACTCAGCCTATGCGAGCAGAGAAGGTGGAAATCAGAGGCCCCCCGGGCAGGAAGGGGCTCTTCTGCGTAAGCCACCTCAGCTGCGGGCTATTCTGTTTTATGCGCTTGCATGTCCTCCAGTCACCCACTGTCTTACTGAACCCGAATCCGTCCTCTGCCTGACGTCTGAGGCTGCAGGTGCACGAGTTTCCGGACAGCTCTGCATCCCCCGGACAAGTTCTGGTGAGGTTTTCCTGGGCTGAGTTTTCCTAGTTCAAAGCCCTTGCTAGGTTTTCCAGACAGTCTGCTCTCCTCCCCTTTGCCAAGGGGCCTCATTGGAACTAAGGTTCTTAGTCAAGAGTGCCTTTTGCCTCAAGCAAGCTCAGGGACCTCAGCCTCCCACTCCCTGGTTAGGCCTTGTGCACACCAGCTCATCCTTCCTGCCCCAGCATCTACGCACCGGTCCTGCTTCCCCTGCGACAGCCCGAGGCAGTGAGGAGAGACTCAGCTAAGCCTTAGAAGGTTTTTTTTGTTTTGTTTTTTACCCTCAGCATCCCCTTTCTGATAGACCTGGGGACAGGCGGGATCCCGGCCACGGGGGACCAGGAAGGGTGCTAGACCATTTGGGGTCTCCGTGTTCGGGTGTGGTCACTTAGCTGAGCCCCCAGCAGCTCGCCTAGGGGGAGGGGAGGATGGCTGCAGCAGGTGAGGAGGGTTTGGTCAGTGTCCCCAGGGAGGCAGCCCCGGGCCAGGGCCGGAGTGGTGGGTGCAGCGGTGGCCCGGAGAAGTGGTGTGAGCTGACATTTTAAAAAAATTGTAGCGGGTAAACATCAACAGAAACCTGCCCAGGAAAACAGAGCAGGACTTAAAGGTTAAAAACCCATAATAAAATAGAGCTCTAACTGTAAACTACAGAGGCCAGGCTCTGGGGTCCTCCATGGGCCTGTCCCCTACGAGATGCTGTCCCGCTGCTCCCGTAAGTGAGGGGCCACCTGTCAGAGCATGGGCCTTGGGGTTTCCTGGTTGTGTCACCACTGCTGCCTGGGTTTGGGGAATCCCTGTCCTTGCCTTGGCCCCTTTTCTTGGAGCCAGGGTAAGGGCAGCAGGGGCTTCAAGCCAGCGCTGCATGTCGAGGGCCCAGCAGAAGCTCGGCTTGGAAGGCGAAAGACCGGTGTCTCCTGGCATTGGCCCATGCCTCGGGCGGGGACCCAGCCACGCCGGTCACCCCACGATCACCCACCTGAACCTCCTGAAGCAGAATTGTCATAGCCCACCGCCCTTCTTAAGACCTTCTTAACCAGGCCGTAGCCGTTGGGTGCTGCCCCCTTCCTCTGGACAGACAGCCCGGAATAGGAAGGCAGGACAGGCTGTGTGACCTTGGGAAGTCCCTCACCCTTCCATTTCATCTGTAAAGTGAGGGGCTGGGGCAGGTCGAGCTCGAAAGCCGCCTCCAGCTCTGTTGTCCCGTGACTGGGAATGTACCCAGAGCGCATGATTTATTAATGCCTTTTTCTCCTGGGGAAATGCAAAAGAGCAGTCGGAGGTGGCCTGGGCGACAGGTCTGGCTAGGTGGCCCAGGGCATTCCTGGGAGCAGGCAGGGCCACAGGTATCCCTGGCCCTTCTCGGAAGACTCCGGACTGCAGAACGCACAGAACTGAGGCCGCCTCCCTGTCCCCAGGCTTGCGCGAGTCGGTGCCGGAGAGCCGCGGCCCGGGGCCTGCAGGCAGAGCGGGAGGCAGGGGGTGGGCACATGAGCCCGGTCTCCCATCTCCTGCCCACCCCCTGGAGGAGCCGTGCAGGATGGGTCTTGGGGAGGTCCCCCACCCCACCAAGACCCATCCTGCCCACACCCTGGAGGAGCCGTGCAGGATGGGTCTTGGTGGGGTGGGGGACCTCCCCAAGATAAGCCCTTTAGTCACTCAGCCACGGGTGGTGGCTTCTGTCACTCCGGGGGTGACAGGGTCAGATTGGCAGTGTTGGCTAAGACAGCAGCGTCACCTGCCTTGGGACCGTGCCTCAGGCCAAGTCTGGTGCCCCTTTCTACCTGGTGTCCCAGCCTCTCAACCCCTTTGAGCTCCCACCCTCGGCAGTCTGGAGTATCATCCACCAAAGCTGCAGGGACTCAGGCTCCTGGCCTCGGACTCTGGCGCACTGGTTTTCAGCCACCTGGGTAGGTGGCAGGGGCCTCTAGGGGGCATCGAGGATAATATCAGGGGCCAGCTCTGTGGCCCCTGGGGAAAGTAGGGGAGTTCTTGGTCCTGGGTCTGGCTCTGTCCTTAGACTGAGGGACGTTGATGTTTATGCTTCATCCTACTGCAGCCCATTGGTGTCCAGTGTTCCCACTGGGCCAGGCACTCTGCTCCAAGGGGGTGGAGTGCGTCTGCAGGACCAGAGCGCCATCTCCCCCGATGTGCCGATACGTGTTTCAAACCCCCTTCTTCCCATGGGCCTGTTCCTTCCGTCCAGGCGCCCGAGAGGGCCCAGGCATAGGGTTCAGTATCATCACGGAAGTTACTGCCTGGTGTCTTTTGATTTAAAGAAAAAAAAAAAAAATCCTTGCACGGGTTCTATCCTGTGGCAGAATATGAAATATCCTACCTCCTACAAAAAAGGGCACTGTTTAAGACAGGTACTGAAAGCCAGCCATTCTCAGGCCCAGTGTTGGGCCACCTTGGCATCAGGAAGGGGCCAGGGCCAGCTGGCTGTGTCCATCAGAGGCGGGGGTCCGGCTGTGGCAGAGAGGGAGGGATGCCAAGATCAGAGCTCCAGGTAGCCTTCGAGGACCAGCATTGCCACCAATGAGGAGAGAATGGTGCCAGGATGTGGGGCCGGGCTGATTGCAGAGTTCTCCACCATCATGCTTGTGCCTGAAACCAGCAGGTGGAAAAGTGGGGCTGTGTCCGCTGGGCTTGGGGCCAGCCTGCCCCCGACCCACCCCCAGGACAGGATCCAAACCTTGGCTAAGGAGACTCGGGGAGGGCGGCTTCAGGGCTGGGAGGTGTTCTCAGCCCTGCTCCTACAGCATTTTCTAAGACCTTTGCTTCTGCAGTCTCGAGACCGGCCCTGTACCCCGTGAAGGGAGCTCACTCCTCCCTGGCCCTCAGGGATGTGCGGGGATGGGGCACGGGTGGCAGGGAGGGCCGTGCCAGGACTCGGTTACACTCCGTTCCTGCCTCCCTTCCTCTTTCCCCTGGGGGTCTGGCTGAGTTGGGGTTGGTTTGGGTGGGAATGGTTCCTTCATCAGGCATCTGGATGGACCCTGATGCTCCTGGGGGATAAGGTGGGGAAGAGACAGCACCTCCATTCCTCACAATGTGGACTTCTGCTGGGGTCCCGTCCCCTCCAGGTCCTGTGGTCCGAATCTGCACCAGGGCATGGCCGACGTCTTCCGGAACGGCAATGTCTATCCAGTTCCTGCTGGTGAGGTGGAGCGTGGGAGTCGGGTGTAAGTCATTCTGGTACAGCATCTGGGGGGAGGAGGTTAGCCAAGTTAGAGTTTACTTACAGCCTCTGATTCTTCTCTCTTCCCCAGCTCTGGGCACGGGGAGGTGCCCATTCGGTGCTGGTCCTCACCTTTCCTGTTGCCCGTTGACCCGGACCAGGCTCTTGAACAAGCTCCTCACTGGTGGGAGGAAAGCTTGCAAGCAGCTGAACCATCTTTGCAGACTCCTTTAGGCTGGAAGGACCCTCAGGCTTCACCTAGTCCATCGCCGCCCCCTTGAGCCCTGCCTTCCCGCCGTCCTCCCTCCAGACCCTTTTCTTCTGTCTCTGCTACAAGCTACCTATATTTTGTGTCTCCGACAATCCCAAACTCTGCTTATGTCTGACTCGGAGCCCTCTTGCTCCACACTGCAGCTCCCTGTGTCCCCTGGAAATGCAGAGGCGCTGTGCCCGACCACTCAGTGCCTGGTGGGGCCCTTCCTTACCTTATAGCCTGTGACTGCAGACTCATTACGGAGAGGAACCACAGGATCCCACTTGATACTAAGACTGGAGCTTGAGAAAGTCCAGGAGATGTTGCCAGGAGGGCGCTGTGGGGCTGCCGGAGGAGGGAGAAAATTGAGAAATGTTCCCAATGTTTCCTCATCAGCCGCCCCCTTGCCTTAGCCGGTCTTTTTCTAGGTGTCTGCCCACAGCCGTTAAGCCCAGAACATTCTATCACTGCTGCCTAAGAAACAAACCTCATGAAAACCCAAAGGCTGGAGAAGGGAGAGGTGCTTCAGAGGCCATGAATTCTCCCTATTTTCATTAGTCTTTTTTTTTCTTTAAACATTTCATTTATTTATTTAGAGAAAGAATTTGAGCATGAGTGGGGGGAGGGGCAGAGGGAAAGGGAGAAGCAGGCTCCCTGATGAGCAGGGAGCCCAGTGCGGGGTTTGATCCCAGCACCCCAGGATCACAGCCTGAGCTGAAGGCAGATACTTAACCCACTGAGCTACCGAGGCACCCCTATTTTCATTAGTCTTGTGGTTTTGTATCTGTCCAGCCCGGGGTTAGTGGGCTAGAACATTAGTCTTATCGCAGGGGAGAGAGTGGTTCTAGAGGCCCTCCCACCCCCCAGGGGACAGACTCACGGGGCTTCATGGTGGTGGCATCGGCAGAAGGGCTGGCGGGCCCAGTGCCTGCCCGGTTGTAGGCCCGCACGGTCACGTGGTACTTGGTGTTGGGGTGCAGGCCAGTGACTCGGGCACTGGTGTCCAGCCCGGCTGTCCTCACTCGGTCAGCGGCTGCTTCTTTGTCGCCAGCCTTCCAGTAGCGGAGCTGAAAGGGGCAGGGAGACCCCTAGGGTCAGCAGCCAAGCCCACACCTCAGGGCGACCCTGACCCTGACCCTGGCCCTGGCCACCGACATTCTATTCCTCTCCTGCTCCCTCTGGTCCTTCTGACCTGGTCTCGGGTCTCAGACCCCGGACACTAGGTCATGAGCTCCAAGACAGCAGGGACACGTGCGCGTCGCTGCCGGCTTGCTGGCGCCCCGCAGAGAGCCCAGGCAGGGCTGGCTCTAGGCAAGCACTTCACTTCAAAGCTGTCCACAGGTCAGTCTTCGGCTCTGGACATCAGCCACAGGGGCTTGGCTAAGGCTGCCTCCCCAGGGCCGCCCAGATTGCGGCAGTTCCCCACGTCAGTGAATGAGTGATCCCAGGAGGAGCGACCAGTGAGTGAGCTGTGAGGTGCCCCCAACCCCCCTTCCTCTCCCAGGTCCCAGGTCAGTGCTCACCTCATACCCCAGGAGGATGCCATTCATGTCCTGCTGCACTGGTTCCCAGGTCACGTTCATCTCTGAAGATGAGACCCCCTTGGCCCAGACCTTGGTAGGGGCCACCCTGGGCTCTGGGGACCGATAGAGAATGGGTTTGGATTCCCCGGGGCCTCCCTGTGTCCTACAGAGAAGCTGTCGCCCGGGACTGCCCTTGCTTAGGGTATTCGAGAGCGCAGGGTCCTGGATGAAGGCCACAGCATCCCCCAGGCCCGCTTCTCTTTCCAGAGAGACCCCCTCCTCCTTCCCCCAGGCCTGGGCGGGAGACAAGGTAGTCAGGGCTGGGAATGAGGCCGGGGGCCCTCCCGAGCCCCTGGGGTGGCACCGAGCTGCGGTGTGAGCAGCACCCTCCGCACGCACACCCCACGGCCGAGTGGCGGGGGCGGGGCCGGGGGAGGGGCGCACCTTCCTCGGCGGAGTACACCAGCGCCAGGAGGCTCTCGGGCCCTTCCCCGCGGCGGTTGTAGCTGCGGATCTTGACCTCGAAGGGCGTGTAGGGCCGGACGCTGTCGTTGCTGTAGACGAAGTGCTGGGTGTGGGCGCCGGGCACCCGGGCGGTTTGCCAGCGGTCGCTGCCCTGCCTGCGGAAGGACAGCAGGTAGCCGAAGCCGTCTCCGTTCTGGTACTCCCGCGACATGGGCTGGGGGGCAAGAGTGTGGCGTGGGCGAGGGGCCACCGGGCGTTTGCCTGGCCGGCCTCCGGCCCCAGGCAGCCTCGGCCAAGCGGGGCAGCCCCGGGGGTGGGGGGGGGGGGGGAGGGTCCTGCAGTGAGTGCCAGGGGAGGGGAGAGGATGCTGCCCGCCCCCACTCAGGGCCGCAGGGCGGCTCTGTCTGGGTCCTCTCTACACGCAGCGCAAATCTGGAGGTGCGTGGGGACGGGTGGGGGGCAGGACGTGTCCCTCCAGAGAGCTTGGAGGCACGGTTCTGCCTCTGTCCCTGCAGCTTACCGTCCAGTTGACGATGAGCTCTCCGGGGGCTCCACCCCCTCCGCTGAGTCCTGAGGGTGCCACCGAGGGGGCTGTCAGGGCCAAGGGACACAGATGTGGCTTGTGAATGGACCGTGACGGGGCATAAGCCTCGCGCCCGTGCCCATGCAGCAGACTAGGAAGGGGACACCCCTTCACCCTGGCCGTAGTTTTGTCCTCCAACAGGCCCTCTGGATGTGGGCTCTGGAGTCAATGGAGACGTGACATCAAGTCCCACCTCTGCCACTTACTAGCTGTATGTCCCTGGGCAAGTTACTTAACCTCTCTGAGCCTGAGTCCCCTCTCTGTAAGATGAGGATAATAATGTTTCTCTCAAAGGGCTCTAAGAAGAATAAAATCCAACACGATGGTGCCTAGCTCGTGTACCAATCCATGCTCCGTAATAGTTGATGCTCCATAAGTGATCTTTGTCTTCTTCTCTCCTGTCAGTTTAAAGTAAATAAAAGAGACCAACTCCAGTTTGCTCTAACATGAGGGCAATAAATCATCTGGAACAGCAGTTAATGCAAAAAATATTTCTTTTGGGTTGCAGGGGGTTTTATTATTATTTTTCTCTTCATGGCAGATTTAATTTCCTAATTGTCTCTAGTATTCAACAAAGCTGATATTGAAACAAGACTCTATTTAATTAGATCACGAATCTTGGCAGGGGGTAACTTGCCTGAGCATCAAAATATTTCCACAAAGAATCCCGCAAGGAGAAACTTACCACTTGATTCTGATGTCAGTAGTTTAGGGCCTTGTAATGTGCAAGGGGTGCTTAACCACATTGCCCATGTGATCCTGTGAGGTGGGCGTTCTCATCACCCTTGTCAAGTGGAAAGACCAAGGCCCAGAGCAGTTGAGTGACTTGCCTAAGGTCACACAGCTAATAAATGGCACAGTTCAAATTTGAACTCAACTCTTCTGATTTCAAAGCCCATCATTTTTGTTCTGCACCCTAGCTGTCTTTTGCTCACCAACTCCTGGGATACCAGAATGAAGGAGACCACTCCCCTCCCTTCATTTGTCTCTCTGAGAAGTTCAACCAAAGAAGGGGCTTTTTCTGGAATTCCTTACTCTGGAGAGGTACCGGTTAAAAATATTGACTGACTGGAGAGTTGGCCTGGGGCATATGGGAAACCATGTTTAAGGGACACAGGGAGACAGACCCTTACTACACATGGTGGCGGGGGGCGGGGGATGGCTGGGTGGCCGGGGAAAGGGAGACAGGGTCCTGACTCCATGTTGCCCATCTCAGGACCCCAAGGTTCTCATTCTGGAGCTTCAGCTGTGAAAGTCTCAGAGGGTGGGCAGGTGCCTCTCCTGGCTTCTCTCTCCTTCCTTCCCCACTCAAGATGTGACACCTACCTGCCTTTCAGGGAGGCTTATGGGAAGATTGTCCCATTCCACCTGCTCTGAAGGATTTAGAGACACGGACTTCTTCCCTACACACACACACACACACACACACACACACACACACACACACACACCTTCCTTATTAACTGATTTCAGCAGCTCACGTACTACCAGGGAGGACGTCTGCCCATCACCCCATGGTCCTGGGTTCAAGTCCAGGCTCTGCCGATGTGACTCTTCTTTTCTCCAGACGTCGATTTTTCCTTTTATTTTGAGATCATCGTCGATTCACATGCGGTTATACGGTTGGCCCATTTTTTAAAAGGAGGAGTTTGGACTGGATGGTTCTTCCAGCCCCAACAGGCCCAGGCCATGGCCCAGGGCAGAATGCATCGTGTGGTGCAACGGCCTTGCCCTGACTGTGTCCCTTTCTCATCTGTTTTGTTACAGTCCGAAGCCTGGTGAGCAAGGTGGGAACTCCCGTAATTGCTGCTCCCCTGGGGTTCCCTCTCAGGAGGGCTAGGGGCTGTGCCCTGACGTTACTTCTCTTTGGGACCCCCAGGACTCTGACCTGCTTCCTTGGTCCGGATTTTGCTAGAGGGCCCACTGGGCTCCCCGGTGCCCAGGATGTTGCTGGCTAAGACCCGGAACTCATAGTCCATCCAGGGCGTGAGGCCCAGCACCTGGGCGGTCTCGGCGTTGCCCTCGATGTTGGCGGGATCTGCAAGGGACCCGGAGTCAGGGTGCTGGCACTTGTTAGTCTAGATGGAAAGGGCAGGGACTGGGCCTGACTCACCTCATATCCAGCCCTCACGGTGGTGCCTGCCATATGCTCAGTGCTCAGCACCTCTTTTAGAAAGGATGGGAAAACTAGTAGACTTCCCTTCCCCGGGGGCCTCTGTTGATGCTGTGTGCATCAGTGTGAGCCCTAGAGATGGTCTGTCAATGTTCTAAGGGCACAGACTGAGCGCTCCCTTCTCCAGCTCTCTTCCCACTCTCTTGCCATCTGTGGGACCGCCTCCCCCAAGGGCCGGGGAGCTCCCTGCAGGCAGAGGAACTAAGCTTGTCCCTCTCGGAAGTTCCCGGCTCAGCCAGGCCTTATCTGCACTGACCTGGGTGGAACCTCACACTTACTGGTGCGAACCTGCTTCCACTTCCCTGTAGGTGGAGTGCGGGCTTGCAGGGTGTACTTGGCAATAGGGCTGTGGTTGTCGAAACCTCGGCTCCAGCTGAGCTGGACGGTGGTGTCGCCAATGTTCCTCACCACCACGCCTCCTGGGGGACCTGGTGGACCTGCACCAGGGGGTCAGAGCGCAGTGAGTCAGAACTGGGCAGCTTCAAATGTGAGCCAATCTCCTCCCGGCTGGCTCGGGCTGGTGCAGTACCCAGAGGAGGCAGCAGAGGGCGCAGTAAACACGTCCGGGGTGGGAGGGCCAGGAATGGGGGCAGCAGCAGATGGGGGACTGGGAGGTTGGAGAAATGTGTCCCAGGCTGGAGGGGCTCACAGAGGCCCTCACGTAAAGATGTGTATAGATTTCCCAGCACTAGGCTTTGAAAACTGCTGGCCTCAGCCGAGTTCTCCTGTCCTGGGAAGTGGATCTTTAAAATTGTGACTCTGGAGGAGGAATATTTTATTCATTTGGGACCTTCAAAAAACCATGGGATAAGTTCGGCTCCGGGGACTTAGAAGCCCTTCTCTGTCAAAAGCTCTTCCCCACAGCCTTCTGGGAGAGGAGGGGAGTTAGGGAGGAAAGGTCAGAGTAGCCCAGCTGGCCCCTGAGGGCGTTGGGGCAGGAGCGGGTTGGGAAACCCCATCACCTCGGACCAGGACTGTGGCCTCCTTGGACGCACTGTCCACCACCGTTTGGGCCATGCATGTGTACTTCCCGCCGTGACGCAGCTGCGCATTCAGGATGGTCAGATCCCCAACTGTCTCCTTCTGCACATGGGGGACAGAGAGTGGGCGAGCAGGTCAGAGGACGGGGCCCTGGCTAGTGCAGTGAGCCATGAGACATGAGGTAGGGCTCAGAGTCCCCTGCTCTGTTATGTCCATGGACCCCTCAGCATCTCGGGGTTTCTGTCTGTTCAGTGGGAGGTATCAGCTTCTCCTCTCTTAGTACCATGGGACTAAACAACAGTTTGTTATGGAGACAGTCAACTGTGGTCCGAGTTGATGATGTCATTTGCGTTGGGGTCAGGAAACAAGAACAGCAGTGGAGGCTTTGCTGGGCGCCTGGCATTCCAGGTTTGTCCCTAACCCTCTCCTAAATGCATGGCCTTCAGGTGGGATCCAGGGAATTGCCTGTCTAAGGTAGGGGCTTCTTCTGAATCCAAGGATGAGTTTGCCATGCATGCATTCCTGAGGGAATGGGGAAAGGCTCTGGGGGTAGTCACAGTTAAGGACATCTTGGGTCCCCTTTCTGTCGGAGGGAGGAGCCGTGAGTTTTCTGGTTTCAGGCCTTACCGCGCTGGCTCTCCGGTAGTGACCCCCAGGCTTATCAAGGTCTATGGGGAAGTCATCCAGGGTCCAGATGAAGGTGAGATCCATGGTGGGGTCATGGGAGGCGTGGCATTGCAGGGTCAGGCTATCTCCCAAGTTGATGTCCGCACTCGAGGGGGCTAGAGTGATCTTGGTTGCATCTGCCAAGCAAAACAACGTCCCTGGGTGGATGGGGGAGGAACGAGGCCCAGGCAGAGGCAGCAGGGCAGGGTGAGCGGGTTTGACCCTAAGCCCCAGGAAAGAGAAGAGGCAGCATGGCCAACAGGATCTTGACCTCCTAGGAGCCTCACGAATGTGTGAGAGGGAGGCCAGGAGTAGATTCTGGATGGTGGCAAGGGGGTGGTCCCAAATGAAGTCCAATCCTGGGATAGCCTCAAAACTCAACTAGGAGGAAGGTGGAAACACAAGAGCAGGGTGGTGAGGAGGGACTGGCACCCCGTGGCAGCTGGGCTACCTGCCATCTGCCACGCCACACCCCTCACCTCGCACAGATAGGATGCCCGTGCTGTTGGCTTTCCCCATGAAGTTCTCAGCAAAGCAGGTGTATTTGCCTTCATCTGACCGACTGATGTTTCTTATGATCAAGGTGCCTTCCGGAGTTACAGTCACTCTGCAGCAAGGAGAAAGCAGATCTGGCCAACCTAGGGTCACAGTGTCGTCATCGCGGGAAGGGGACTTGCCTTCAGGGTGGATGAGGAGGAGCAGGAATTGGGCCGGGTGGAGTAGGGGTTGTACCTGCTGCTGTTGACCAAAATCTCAGTGCCTTTGCTCCAGAGTACCACGGCCTTCGGAGCCGCCCGGGGCTGACAGGGGATAGCAATCTCTCCCCCGCGGGCTGCAGGGATCAGACGCTTTACAGGGTTCAGCCTGAAGTCGGGGGCCAGGGCTAGAAGGAAAGGGGAGTGCCCTGCAGTCACCCAGGGAATCCTAACCCTGCCCATTGCCTTGATGAAGACGTCCCCCGGCTCCACGTTACACACTTTATTTACTTTACGTACCCTCCGAGGCCAATCCATGAGTGACTTGCAGTAGCTGCACTGCCCAAATACACCCAGAATCCAGCCCCTTCTGGTCACCCCCCCTAACCGCCACCACGCAGGCCCAAGCCACCAAATCTCCTGCAGAACTATTGAAAAGCACCCCCCCCCAGTTGGTCTTCCTGTTTTTGCACTTTCTTTCTACAATCTCTTCCTCCACTCAGCAGCCTGGCATATCTTTTAAGAAACTTAAACACACACTCAGGATGAAGTCCAGCTCCTCACAAGGGCTCACAAATATGACCCTACCCCTCCACTCACTTCTCACAACACTCTCCTTCATTTATTATGCTCCAACCACCTGGGCCATTTTCTGTCCTTTGGGGATGCCGTTTTTTCCTGCCTCAGGACCTTTGCACTTGCCATACATTTTGCTTAAAAATCCATCAGATCTTTGTATGGCTGGCTCCTTGTTAACACTCAGGTCACACTCCAAATATGACTTCCTCCAAGAGGTCTGGCCACCCTAACTGGCCCACCTTCCTCCTACCACTCCGCTGGATTTTCTTTATACTGTAATTTTATTATGGCTGTCCAAAATTGTTTAATTACATGATTTTGTGATTGTCCCTCTCTCTCCACTGGATTGTAAGATACTTGAAGGCAGAGATCTTATCTTTCATGTTCACTCCTTAGAAGGTGTTGAATAAATATTGGTTGAAGGAACGAATAAAAGAACGAGTCTTAGTTAAGCTCACTACAACTTGATGAGGTAGGTACCACTATACCCATTTTACAGATGAGGAAACCAAGGCCCCGTGAGCTCAAATCATATAACTAAGAACGCTAGCACCAGTGGACATTTATTGGGCACCTGTTCCGTGACAGACAGGTCCTCTCTATCTCATTTCCTCTTCCAAAGAGCAGCACAAGGGCAGGACTGTTATTGCCCACCTTTTATACATCAAGAAACTGAGACACAAAAGATTAAGTTGCCAAAGGTCACATAGCGGAAGGGGCTGGTTTAAACACAAATCTAATTGATTTGGTTGCCAATGATTTTCCCCCCTTGTTCATAGCAGCCAACAACTTACTTTAAACATGCCAGATATGGTACAAGCCAGAGACCCCCGTCTTTGGGACGCTCCCAATCTAGTGTCTCGTCTCCTTTCTTCGATCCCTCTGTTCTGCTCAGAAGCCACTGGAAGACTGCGGGAAGCTGCCCGCGTGTGTTCATGTGTTTAGAAACGCCGCAGTTCAGAACGCTGGAAGCCTACCTGCGTGTCTTTGCCGATGGCCCCTGCCCACCTGGGCCCGTACCTTGCACAGCCAGCTCGGCACTGGCATAGATGGTGCCGTGCTTGTTCTCCGCCACACACTGGTACATGCCCGAGTCCTCCAGGCTCAGCTTGGAGAAGCGCAGGTCCCCAGCCAGCACCTCGACACGGGACTGTGCCCAAGAGAGTAGGGGTGGGGCATGAGGGGCATGAGGACTGCTGGAGTGCTAGAGGACGGGGCAGGGGGGAAGGGGGGTGCTGGGGGCAGTGGAGACTCTAGGCGGCCACCGCCCCGTCGAGGGGGCTCATTTGCCCATCTCAGGACCTCCTGGAATCCCAGGACTCGTGTTCCCCAGGCCCCTGCAGATCAGCACACTGAAGCCAGAGGGACAAGGTGACCTACCCAGGACCACAAAGTGATTTTGTGACTCAATTGTGCCCGGATCCAGGTCTCTGGACCCTCGAGTCAGGACTCTGTCCTGGTGACCAGCTGGTGGCCATGTGAATCTGGGATGGAAAGAAGCACCTAGAACCACCCGCCCCGTGGTGCCTTAATTGTCCCATAGAGGCTGCCAGTGGTGGTGCAGAGTCAGGGAGGAAAGTCTGGAAGGTGAGGGAACCAGGTGAGCAGTGGACTGCTGATGGGTGGGAAGCCCCAAGTGTCCTACCTGGGAGGCCAGAGGCTCCCCGTTCCGCAGCCAGCGCACCGTGGGCCGGGGTTTGCCGGCCGCTGCACAGCCCCAACGCAAGTTGGAACCGATGTCAGCCTCCATGTCTGAGATCACCTTCAGCCACTCGGGCTGAGCTGCGGGAGGAAGGGGGAGAAAGGCCGGGGATGAGCTGGGAGGAGCCTCCCGCTCACAGTGGACCCGGATTGCAGTTCCTGTGATAGACAGCAGAGGGCGCCCTCGGCGTTCCGGGACGGGGTTGGGGGGTGGGGAGGAAGCCGGTTGAAGGAAGTTGGCACTTGGTGTCTGTGCCAGTGGCTCTTTTAGCAACTTAAAGCATTCTAAAGCCTTCCATGTGCTCTCTGCAACCCCGAGTGAAGCTCTGAGCTTCTGTTTCCACATCCAGTGCAATCCTGGGGCAGGAGGGCTTAAGTAAGGGGGCCTCCCCTCCTTGACTTTTGGATCTGCTTCCTCAGGGGTAAGAGTGAAGGCAGGGGGAGCGTGTCCCAGCTGTGTACCCTGCACGATGATGCGGCCCTGGACGGTGTCGCGGCCCTTGGAGTTCTCCGCCTCACACTCATAGGTGCCTTCGTCCTCGAAGCTGACGCTGGGGATCTGCAGGGTGGGCTCAGCGGTGGCCCACTGGGGGGACAAGGAGCCGTCCACTTTGCGCCACTTGATCTGGGGGACGGGGCTGGCAGGGGAGACAAAGCCAGAGCAGGTGGGCTGCGCTAGGCAGACTCCCCTGTGCCCGCAGCTCTTGTTGAAGATTCTCACGCCCTCCTGAGGTGCTGGGCAGGTGGGGATGGGGAGGAGGGCGGGGCCTCTCCCCGGTAGGCTCAGAGCACAGGCAGGGGAGAAGCAAGAAGTAGGGTTCCTCTCTCCTCTCCCCTGCAGTACTTGTGACACCAGTGAACTTCCTTGTGGTTTGTACCCTGAAGCTGGTTTGCTCTCCCTGCCCCCACCCTGCACTGGCCACCGAGCGTCTTCTGGGACTGCCTTCCTCAGCAATGGTCTGTGACCTGTGGTTCTGTGGGTCCCCTTCCCCTCTCCCCAACAGGCTTTGCCTTTACTTTTCAAAAGGCCTCTACTTATTAGTGATTCATTTACTAAAATGGACTAAGGTATCAGTGAGTCTGAAAGGGTTAATACATTAACCTTCCATGTACTTTCTTTCTTTCTTTTTTTTTTTTTAAAGTAGGCTCCCCTCCCAGCGTGGAGCCGGATATGGGGCTCAAACCCAGGACCCTGAGATCAAGACCTGGGCTGAGATAAGAGTCAGAAGCTTAACGAACTGAGCCACCCAGGTGCCCCCCACATGCTTTAAATATGAATCTTCTGGAAGCCCAATAACTTTTCACAGAGCAGGGACATCCTAGGTATCCACAGGAGACATGAGGGAAGAGGAGACCAATGTGCAAATCACACTGTTCTACAAACATTTGTTGAGCACCTGCTATTTGCTTAGCCCTGTTCCAACGAATCCTTTCTCTGGGAGAACAGGATTTCTATTGCAGTTTTTAAAAGAGAACTGTTAGCATGCATAGAACACTTACTAAATGCCAGACACTGTTCTAGGCACGTCATGTGTATTAACCCACTTAACCCACTTCTTGCCTCTCCCCTGCCTGTGATGCAGGTACTATTTATGGTGATTACCACGTACAAGTAAGGACGCAGAGGTACAGAGAGGTTAAGTAGTTTATCCACGGCCTCGCAGCCAGCCAGTGACAGAGCTGGGATTTGAACCAGGCCGCCCAGGTTGGGATTCGTGCGTGGCGCTACCTGCCTCCAGCCTGGGGTGTGCATCAGCCCCCTGAGCCTGTCCCGCCTTGCTGGGAGCACCCAGAATGTGTCAGGCCCCTTCACTCTGAGTGACAGTGCTCAGTGAGGGGTGGTCCCTACCCACTGTTATCCACCGCGCTGCCAGACCCTGCCTGCCCTCTCCCTGGGGTCACCCGGGCCCCGGAGGGGCTCTGAGAGGCTGTGCCCTGGCCTGCCCCCTCCCTCCTCCACCACTCACTTCCCGAAGGCGAAGCACTCCAGGGTGACCTGCTGCCCTACCAGCGCATAGGTCTCTGCTGGGAACCGAGCCTTGATGCTGGGTGCGAAGAGCCTGGTATCTGGGAAGAGAGGGATTTTGCAGATCGGACACAAGGGTTGCAGGCCAGGTGCTGCTGGGCTTAGGACCTCAGCACAGCTCAGAGCCGACTCTTTCTTGACCCCTGTTCCCCCTTGGGGGCCTGGGCAAGGGTCTGGGACCCTGCAGCCGGAGGACCCGGGGTTCAGGCCCCAGACCCTGGGCTCTGTGAACCGCTCTTCACAACTTCTGAGGGGAACTCTCTTTTCCCATTATCCGCCGAGCCTTCCAGCTCCCCCCTCCGCACCATGCCCACCGACCCTGACCTTCAGCAGCCAGGTTGAGCTGAGCGAACTTGCTGAAGACGCTCTTGGTGGAGAAGTCCATGTGGCTGGTGGCCAGGCAGGAGTAGTTGCCCAGGTCTGAGGCATTGGTCCGGGCGATGTACAGGTTCCCCGTGGTCTGGGACACGAAGTGACGCCCGTCCGTCGGGATGAAGTTGGGGAACTCATTGAGGAGCCAGCGGTAGGACAGGCCTATGGGACGTGGGGAGTTTGAGGAAACCACGGGGCGCTGGGCTGAGGGGGCAGCTGTGGGTGGGCCCCTCAGCATGCAGACCCTAGGGATCTCTAGACCTAGTCCTGAGGCCTGGGGCTCTGAGGTGGCCCTGAGGGGAGCCCTAGAAGAAAGATGTGACGTTGCCCCTGCCCTCGGGGTGCTCCCAGTCTGAAGGCGGAGGCAGGGCACAGAGCTAGAAAATGACAGACCCATGAAGGAAACACAAAATCATTTTGAGCTGGGGAACCAGGGGTCCGTGCTTCCAAGGGCCACTCACTACCTTTTACTCCATCCCTGAGTGACTGGAGGTCCCTCCTGTGCCCTGTGTCTAACCGTGGGCCAGGGTCCCGACTCACCTGGGTAGTGCGCGGGCGGGTTACAGGGCAGCATCACCCCCCAGCCTTCGTGGGTTTTCACCGGGTCTCGCTCCTCCTTCGAGAACTCCTGCAGAACTGGAGATAAAGACCAGGCACTCGGGCACCGTCCTCCAAGCCTCCACGGGACGTAGTCACCTGCCCTTTCTGGACACTCTTCCCAGCCCCTTACTGCCCTCCCCCGAAGCGCAGCACCCCATGGGTCTCACAGCCGAAGCGGAGAACAGCCTCCCTGCTGACGACGGTGCCCACTGCGTTGGAGGCTAGGCACTGGTAGACGCCGGCGTCCTGGGCCTTGGTGGGGTTCATGATGACCAGGTTACCCCCCACCAGCTGGTGGCGGGAGTCTGGCTCCAGCTTCATCTCGGTGCCGTTCATCTTCCACCTGCAGCAGGGGGCAGAGGGGGAGACCCTCCTGAGTCCCGCTTGGCTGGACCCAGCCTGGGGGCAGGGTTGGGGTGAGGAAAACCTGCATGGCTGCCTGGGGCCTCCAGCACCCGCCATGGGGGGGGGGGTCTCACCTATAGGTGGCAGGAGGGCTGGCCCGGGCCCGGCACGCCAGCGTCACCTTCTCCTCCGTGGACTCCTCTGGGAATAGCAGACCGAGGGGCTGATCTTCAAAGACTGGCCCAAAGGTGGCCGGGGATCCCCGGGCTGAACTCTGAGCTGTAGATGGGGGACACCACCAGAGGCCTCAGGGTCTAGGGCCCGATAGGGCAGTGCTGTCCAACAGAACATTCTGTGAGGATGGCAAGATGCCATTTTCTGCACTGCCCAATACTGTAGCCAAGAGCCCCAGCTATCAAGCCCTCAAAATGTGGCCAGTGCAGCCGAGGAACCCGCCCCCCTGGGTCTGGAGGAGTGTTCTGTCTGGCACAGGGTGTGTGCTCTGGAAATGTCTGCGGGACCCAAGCACGGGGTAGGGTGGAGGGTAGGGGAAGAAGGAAGGGTTTATGGCGGGGGGGTGCAGTTTGCTTTGGAGGCATCTTTATACAGTTCCAGTGTGACAATTCAAGAGAGAGAGGCCTGGGAGACGAAATGACTCGTTTGTGGTCACAAGGCAAGTCTGTGGCACACGCAGGTCTAGACTCCCGTCTCCTGAGTTTGCTGAGCAAATGGGTACCCCTGGTACAAATGGAGTTTTCATGCCTGGCCTCCTGCCAGGGCGGATGCCTCTTTCTCCAGGCCCCATTGTTCAACCTCATCAGGGCGGGGGGACACAGGCACAGAGGGCAGTGTTTCACACCTGCCTTCCCACAGGGCTGGGGAGCGGGCTCTGTTTGCTGACTCGTGGGGTCCGTCATGCTTTTGGCCTTTGTGGTGTCGGGCAGGAACCAGGCCACCCCTAATTGGCTCCTACCCCTCAACGCAGCTGGTTTCAGGCCCTCCTTGGTGGGTTGTGGGGGGTGAGCTCCCCATTAACCAATTAGTGCCTCCTCTCCCTGCGCATCCAGCTGCCGGCCCCGCTCCAGGGGTGGGGGGTGCACCCCCATGCCACAGCTGAGGCCAAGCCCTGTACCCCAGGGAATGAGGGCGGCTGTTAAGCAGCTCTCAGAATGAGGAAGGAGGCAGGGCTCCCTGAAATGGCATCCCCCATCGCCCTCCCCACCACCCATCGCTCTCCCTCCCTGCCGCCCCAGGCCTCAGAGGCCACAGCAGCGGTGCCAGCATCATCTGGGTCAGAGAGCGCAGCTTAATCCCAAGTTAATGATGGTGGTGGGGCGTAGGGACCCCTGCCCCAGCTGGGACTGCCAGGACCGAGGGGGAAGGCGGGGCGGCAGGGGCAGCCAGGCTGCTGGAGGCCACCTTGTATAACAGGCGCTTCCAGTAACTGTAGGGGTGGGGCGGTGGCTGAGGGGGCCTGGGGCGCACTGAGGCTTTAAGACTGGCTTTCTTCCTGAGAAAGCTTTGTCCTCTGCACTCAGCCATGTACGCACCCTCGGCCCAATATCCGCCCACACCTCTCTCTCGCCTACACATACTTCTTTACATGCACGCGCGCACACACACGTACTTACCTCTCTGAGCTATCCCGTCAGATACACAGTCATGCACACATCTGTTCCACGCACATCCAGCTACAAATGTCTGCGTGCGCTTATTTATACACACACGCGTATTCCTACTGATAAAAACAGGTGCTATTTGAGTGCTTACTCTTTTTTTTTTTTTAAGATTTTATTTATTTATTTGACAGAGCGAGACACAGCGAGAGAAGGAACACAAGCAGCAGGGGTGGGAGAGGGAGACGCAGGCTTCCTGCCAAACAGGGAGCGCGATGCGGGGCTCGATCCCGGGACCCTGGGATCATGACCTGAGCCAAAGGCAGACACTTAACCACTGAGCCACCCAGGCGCCCCTTGCATGCTTACTCTTTATCGGATGCCACACTTCGTATTTCTTCTCCTACCCTCGTTACAAGACAGGCACTGACATTTCCTTACTTCCCTAATGTGGAAACTGAGATTTAGGAAAGTTCAATAGTTTGCCCCAAATCGCACAGCGAGGAGGAGCAGATCCAGGGATTTGGATCCTGGCCAGCCGCACCCGTAGCCGGCGTCCTCAGCCACAGTGGCCATGATTCTTCCCCTCAGTCCCCATCAGAGCCATCAGAGGCCCGTCCTCCCCCCCACCCCCACCCCACAGAGGGGCGCTCCCTCTGGAGGGCAGCGGGGGCCGAGAGCCATCACTCTTGCTGGAAGGCTTTCCATGCACATTCGTCATCCCCCCAAATGTAGCACCCGGTCCACGCAACAACTCGCTGGCATTGCCACCGTCTTAAACATCCACAAACACACTCTCATTCACTCCACACCTTCCTCTGAGGCTGCACTCGCGCCCACCACACACACACATACGCCCCCTTCCTTGCTGCCCGTGTTCCACATCCTCTCTGATTCTGATTCCCTGTTCTGGCAACTCTGCTCCCCCAAACATGGGCATCTGGAAGCCTCAGAGGAAGGGGCTAGAGAGACGCAAACATAGAGGGGCCTCCTCGCTGCCTTCCCTGGCCTGGGTGCCAGCGACCCAAGGCTGCTTCTCCAGGGCAGGTTAGCGAGGGGAGCCACCTTTCTGGGAGGGGTGAGAGCCAGTGATGGGATGTTCCACTCGGGTCTCTGGGGCTCGGGGATGTGGCAGACTGGGTCCCCTCTCCCTGGGCCTTCCTGCATCCCTGGGTCTAAGAGCCCAGCAGCTACCCACACCCCCTGCCTCAGGTGATGTGGTCCCGGCCTGAGCTGTCCCCCGGAGCCTCTCCTCTGCTCTCTCAGGGGTGGCTGTCTGCTGCTCGGTGCAGCCTGAGCTCCCCACCCTCCACGGCTCCTTTGGCCCCGGGCAGGGGGCGGGGCGCTGAGAGCCTCAGTCCGGCCTTTGGGTCAGCCCTGTTTCCCCTGCAGCCTCACTGATTTGGGAGCAGGCCTGGAAGGCAGTTAGGAGGTAATGAGAACATCTGGAAGTGTGCCAGTGGAGTCCTCCCGGGTGAGAGAGAACCTAAAATGGGCCGGCCGCAGTCTTGCAGGGGCGTGGGGCCGGGAGGAGGAGTGGAAGCGGCTCGGACTCCGGAAGGGTGGGGGACGGGGACGCCTTCTCCCATGGAGGTCTTTACGGAGAAAGGAGGCGTCTATTGATCTGGGCTGGGGGTCAGGGCGGAGAGGCCAGGCAGTCCCAACAGGCCCCCCCAGGGCAGGCGCAGGTAGCGGGGGACCTCCCTCCAGCTCTTGGATGGACTGGGTCTCCGGCACCTTCTTCCCCGCACACTCCCCAGGGGCCGGCCAGCCTGGGTCTGGGCCCCAACTGCCCTCTTCTGCCGGCCTCCCTCCAGTGCTCTCCCTACCTCACGGCTCCCCTGGCAAGAGAACGCTTGCCTCCGGCCTTCAGCCTCGGCCGCCCTGTGCTCTGTCTCATGTCTTCTCACGTCCTGCACTTGGTCTGTCAGGCCACAGCGTGGCCCTGGGGAGCCCTCCTAGAGTTTTGTGGTATCGATCCCCGTCTCATGTCAGAGGACGCTAGAGCGGGAGGATCCGATAGAACTTTCTGTGATGATGGAAATGTTCTAGAATCTGTGCTACCCAATATGGTTATTAGCCCTTAAAATGTGGCTTGCACAACTGAAAGACTAATTGTAAAATTTAATTTAATCTCGGTTCTAATCGTTCCATGTGGCTATTGGCTGCCCTATTGGACAGCACGGCTCCTTAGGGGTTGCAGCTAGATGACGATCATGGAGATCTGATCGTGCCATAATCTTGCCGTGGGGCCCAAGGCAAGCCTCAGCCTCTCTGGATCGTGCTTCCTTCATCTATATTATGGTGGAGACTCATTCCTTCTGACCTCGAAGGGAAGGTAAGATCCACAAATGGGAAAATTTTAGCAAGGAAATGGCCTCAAAAATCTAAGTGCCACAGCAATGCAGGGTCAATGATTTCTGAAGTCATCACTAAAATAATAGCAATGATAGAGCAATAGAATCATCCTGCTGGGCTTTGGAGCCCAGAAGAACCCTCATACCTGGAGAGGAGACAAGGACCACAGCGACCAGCAGCAGCAGGTGTGACTTCCTCCTGGTGGGTATCCCCATGGTGGGTGTCCTGGGCGGCAATGGGGGGCAGAGGAGAGGAGGCTCAGCCCAGCGCGGGGAGAGTCCAGCTGGAGGCTGAGAAGGACCTGGGGAGGCAGAGGATGGGGAGGACTCTGAGCCGAGGAGCGCCCCTCCCGGCTTCGTCCTGGCTCACTGGTAAGTAGGCAGTGCTTCTCCCCCAGCCTGGGGAGAGGCCTGAATTGCTCTGCACTCACCCTCCCCAAGCCCCCAGGGGAAGGGGCTTGGCTGTTACAGAGGAGCTCTTTCCGGGCTGAGTGCCTACCAGGGGGCCCCCTGGGAGTCTGGCTCTGCCCTGTACATGCCCCCCCCTCCCCTGCAGCCGGCAGGGGTTTGCTCGGGAAGTAAAAGCAGTAACTAATTGGGAGGCAAGAACCCACCTGCCCCTCAGCGGTAATAGCTCTTGATGTAGGGTCCAGAAGAGAACAGGGCCCTGCCTGGGTGGTGGGGAGCATCTTCCTCCTCCAGGGTTTGGGGCCCAATTTCCCCTGCCCCTCCCCCACAGCTGCCAGGGTTTGGGGATGGTAAGCCCCTCTGGGAGCTGCCTTAAGTCTCTCAGGGTCGGGGTGCCTGGGTGGCTCAGTCGTTAAGCATCTGCCTTTGGCTCAGGTCATGATCTCAGGGTCCTGGGATCAAGCCCCACATCGGGCTCTCTGCTCAGCGGGAAGCCTGCTTCTCCCTCTCCCCCTGTTTGTATTCCCTCTCTTGCTGTGTCTCTCTCTGTCAAATAAATAAAATCTTTAAAAAAAAAGGGGGGGTCTTCCTTGTTTTTCTAGCAGTGAGGAGGAGTTTCACTGGTTTATTCACACCCTCTCACCTGGGCCCCAGGTGAGGCACTTATGTTCTGTGCACCATGGAGCCCTAGCCTTGGCCCCATCAGTGGTGCTCCCCAGCTAGGAGGGCTGATGGGCCCCCACAGGCCTTCTAGGATCCAAGCTTAATGTGGCTCCCAGAGGAGCCTTCCTCTTATACAGAGACTTGGTTAAATCCTGGAGCTCTGGAGAACCTGTTCCCTGGGCAGGGGCACCCAGAGCAAGTCAGAGCTCCCCTCCATCAGGAAGCGAGATGGGGCCTCATCCTGAGAGGGGCGGGCAGGCCCAGCCTTTCCATCTGCTCCCCATCTCCAGGCTGGCGTTCTGAGTTCTGGGGGTAGTGTGGAATCTCAGGGGTCTGCTTTTCGGGTTTTAGAGGGAGCCTGGGTCACTGGGCTCCCAGGGCTCCCCATCAGAGCTGCCATGGGGAGCAGATAACCCAGATGCAGATTCTGCTTCTCTGCCTTGCACCTTTCCAGAAGCCTGAAAAGGCAGAGGGGGCTGAGACTGGGGGAGAGCCTGGTGGCAAGACCCACACCATCTCTGGGTCTGAGTGTCTTCATCTGTAAGATGGGTGCTCTGAGACTGCAGTGTCCCCAGAGAATGCAGCGTGGCTGAGGGCCTGGGATGCTGTCCCCTGAAGGGGGGGGACGGCGGGGGGAGGGGAAGGCAGGCTACAAATGACTTCAGAGTCTGCCGCCAGGGCCAGTGCAGGGTCTAAAGACCAATGCAAGGCCAGGATCTCCCGGTCTCACTTCATGCTCTAGTCCTTTGGAAAGCAAGGACTCCCAAACCCCTTTGAACCTCAACATCTGGCCGCCTGCAGCCTTTCTCAGCCTCCTGAGAGGGAGGGGAGGGGGAGTCAGGGAGGCTGTGGGCTGAGAAGCTGGGTGTTGGTGGGGGTGGGGCAGTGGTGTTTAAACATATGGCACTCCCTCTTCTGCCCCACGGCCAGCCTCATATCCACTTCCCTTTGTCAGGAAGGCGCCCAGGTGCCGCCTCTCCATGCCCATGCACCCCCTCTCTGTCCTTGCCACTTTCAGTTCCAGACTGGAGCCCAGAAATTCTGCACTGGCCAGGAAGCCCTTCAGAGGCCCCCACAGGCACACAGACTGCAGCTCTGCTCGCGACTAGACCCTTGGCGCCCCCCCGCCCCCCGTGGAGGTGCATCTGCCTCCATTCAGAGCCTGTGCGCTCCCCAAGGACAGAGACCCACTCTTTCATCTTGGTATGGCTGGTGCCCAGCAAGTGCCCCGCGAACAGTAGGTGTGACTTGTGGGTCGCATTCAACTGATGGCGAGCGGCTGTGACCAGCTCCTCCAGCAGTGGACACACGCTGTCACACACTCCCACTCTCCGCAGAGCTGATTCGGGGGCGCCAGGCTCCATGCTCCCCAAGGGCTGCGCGAGGGCCAACTCCGCAGGCCACCCACCCTCACACACCCTCTCTCTCGTACTCATAGACTCACGGACACACTGTCTCTCAGACACACCCTCTCACATGCACACACGCACACTCCGTCTCTTCGTCTCACATACTTTCTCAGACACTTTTATACACTTTCACACATACTCCCACTCTCTTCCCCACACACCTTCACATACACACTCACACACTCTTACACACACACACACACACACGCACACTCTCTCACACACACTCAGGTCTCTAAGGTCAGCAGGGTGTTTTGTCATGGAAGAATCTAGAAGTATGGCCCTGGATGCTATGCTCCTGATAGGGAGCCACGAGGGCACTGCGAACCATCACAGGCTTTGGAATCCACAGATAGGAGTCAGTGATATGCCTTCCTTTCCTCACAGCTTTGTGAGCCTGGACAGGTTATTCCTCCTGGGGGAAGCTCGGTTTGCTCATCTACCACGTGGATGTCATAACACTTAGGTTCCAGAGCTGTTCTGAGTGGGAAAGGAGGTGATGGAGCGCCCTGCAGAAGTCCGGGGCTGTTTGGACTTGCCTTGGGGTCACGGTTCGGATGGGGGAATGGAGAGAGGATGGGGCTCCAGATCCCTTCCCCATTTCAGCCAGAGCAGGTCCACTTGTACCCGCTTCACCTCCTGGAAGTTCCCTTTAAACAAAGGGTTCCTTGGTTCCAAAATTTTGAAAACGCCCCTGGGTGCTGGTGCGGCGCGTCCTGGAGTCTGGCACAGAGAAGGTGCTCCATCATCGTTTGCTTCCTGCCCTTTGTCTGCCTGCCATTCCTAGGAGCTCAGGGAGGGGGCAGGGTGCGCGCTCAGGGAGGAGCCTGGGCTGGGCTCCGGGCAGTCATCCTGAGTGTGCCCGAGCAAAGCAGAAACAGATGACCGAGGGAGCTGGGGCTGGGGCTGGAGGCTCCGGGGCAGGAGTCTGGTGCTGCCCACCAGCAGTGCTGGCGAGTGTTGGGCGGGGGAGTGTGTGTGCACGTGCATGCGCACGCAGGTATGTGATGTCTATTTGCATCTGTGTGCTGTGTCTCTATGTCCCTGTGTATATGTGTGGTCTGGTCTTTGTTTCTATGCATGTGTCTGTGTCTGTTTATGGGTACGTCTGGTGTGTGTGTGTGTGTGTGTGTGTGTGTGTGTGTGTGTCCTCAGCACAGGGCATGACGACCCAGTTCCTGCCTTGTTTCTCTGTGACCTGCCAGGAGGACCACTCACCCTGGAGCACTTCTCACTGCAGTGGTCAGAATTACCTGTTAGCTCTTACCATGGGCGTACATCATGAATAACACAATCCCACTGCTCATTCTACACTTCAGTTTAATCCAGACTTTTATCAGTCACCTTGGGCTGATGGGCCCTGGGCAGCCCCTGGGGACTGAGACCTGCCTCAGAAGGGACATGGCTTGGGGAGGGGCTGGGATCGAGGAACTCTTGGGGTTGCCTTTGGGGAACACTAGAGACCAGTCAGGCTAATCATATATACATTGACTCCACTGTGTGCCAAGGACTTGTGTGAACACACACACACACACACACACACACACACACACACGGAGCCTGGGTCCAAGTTTGAGCTTCTTGCCTCCCTGAAAGTGAGGCAGCTGGCATCCAGTTTTGCCTCATATCCCTTTCCCTTCCAGTGTTTATTACCACGTGCCAGGCATTGTGCTGAGCCCTGGGGAGAGACTGATGAACACACAGCCTTTGCAGAGCTTCCTGACCCACTAAGTGGCCCAGTCATTTCCCTATACCATCTGCCCTATGACACATTCTAGAATGCCCAGGAGGGAGGAGGCCTTTTTGTTGGGAGCAAGGCAGGAGTGGAGCTATGCCAGGCCCAGAGACGGCCCTCTGAGCCCGGAGCCAGCCAAGCCTGGCCCAGGCCAGCTGCCCTGGTGCAGGGGTGCAGGGGTGCAGGCTGGCACAGGCTGGCACAGGCGGGTGCAGGCTGGCACCATCAGGGGTTGGTCCTGTGTGGCGGCAGCACACGAGGGAATGGGCTGCTTGGGGGTTCAGGGGCACCAGGGGAAGTGGGCTGAATTGCTGGGTGTGTTCACGCGCGTGTGTTCACCCCTGGGGGACAGCTGCAGGATGGAAAGCTGTGAGCCAGACTCCAGCACACGACAGGGTTTTCTGGGCTGAGGACCCCTGCACGGAACCAGCTAGAAAATGACAGATACACTCTGCCTGAATGCAACCACTTGGGACACCCAGCTCCTGGCCCTGACTCGGTCTCTCCTTCCCCTGGCTAATGGAGATTTCAGTACCAAAGGCGACTTTGAAATGGGTGCTGGTAGGATAAGGGGAAGTTTGGAGCCCAGTTGAGGGCAGAGACTAAGTGACTTATTATAAGCCAAGAAGTACTGCGGGAGCCTCTCGGCTACCCACCATCCTCCATCCTGCAGCGCAGCATAGTGGTTAACGGCCTGGGCTCTGTGCCAACCGGCCTGGCCCTTACTAGTTAGCGTACAACTAACTAGCATAACCCTAGCTCTTACATTCATTACCTACCCTCTTCGAGCCTCAGTTTCCCCACCTGCAAAATGGGGATGAGAAGGGGCTCTGGGGGGGTCAGCAGCGGGCCTGGCCTTAGTGAGTACTCAGAAAAGATCAGGTCCCTCCCGGGACCTCCAGCATGGGCCCCCGGCACACCGAGGGACACAGACAGACGCCGCCCGAGGCCGACTCACTCCCACATGGTCATGACATTCGGGCGGCGCTCACAGATGTGTG